AGTATACCACTATTCAAAAGTCATAAATCGATTGAGAGAAAACAAATCCGGGTTAAAACTAAAACCGAGGGAAACACATCAACTATAAGAGGAAAACAACGAAACAACAGAAACACAGAAGTGCAACAAAAAACAAACGACAATGCAACATACATAGAAACGAACTATAAGATAACAACTGCCAACTAAAGATATGAAATTTTGCCAGTCACATCATCTTTCCATCTGTTTTATTAGATAATTTTATGTAAATTTTCTTAAATATTCATATAAAAATGCGCATGCGTCAAGTATTGAAGTTATTTGTGTATCTGTGCTCGAAAAAATTAAAATATTAACTATTTTGGATACAATTTGGATAGATATTAATTGTGAGAATGATTTCTATGGTGTTTATCTACTAAATGTCGCAGAATTTGGAGAACAAAGGTGAACAAAGACGAAGATTATCAGACGGCAAAACTCCAAAATCAGAAGTTAAATTATACAAAATGTCTTCTGACGCTGATGATATAAAAGATCAGTTCAAAACTAATATAGAATCTATGAATGACATAAAGAAAGGCCAATCGTCTATGCAAAAGATGTTGGAAAGTAAACTTGATAAAATGAAACAGAACTTATGTCTATTATAGAAGATAAAGTCAAAGTTTTGAAATCTGATATTGATTTACAATGGGGACAACAAAAAACTAAGATTGAACAGTTGTCAAACAGTATCGAAAGTATTATGAATAGATTAACGGTAGTAGAAGAGGTTGTTGCCGAAGGCAGCATTATTGGTGCAACGAACGTGAACCAAACAAATCAGTCTTACACAAATAATCAAGTTAATCCGCTGAACAATGATGAAGTTACGGTTATTGCGTCTGGTGCTCCGTTTGAAGAACGTGAAGATATTTTGATTTAGGCCAAGCAAATTATTGCCGAAATTAACACTGAAATTTCAGAAAACGATATTGTGGCAGCGTTTAGATTGAAAAGTCGAAGACAAGACCGACCTGGATTTGTTAAAAATATTCCTACAAATGTGGATACTAAAAAGCGTATTTTACGCAGCAGCAAATCTCATATTCTAAATGGCCGATCAGGAGAAAAGTCGGACTAATTCACAACACTATCAGCGTTTCGGCGACAAAGAAATGATTCCGATTTAAAGAAATACCGTCAAACTTTATGTGCTCCGACATCACGAAAGAGGCTATAAATATGGTTATTCGTCAAATTGAACACCAAGAAGACATTGAAACGATTTACAAACAATTATGCAAATTTGTTACAAAAGAAATGGAAGAAACAATATCATATGATGAGGCGTGTAGGAAAATAAGAAAACATTTTATACACGAAAAAACATTCTGGAATCAAGAATTAAGTGATTTATGGGTAACTATGCACAGTTGTGAAAAACAATTTAAGAAATCTAAAACCAGTTAAGGGAAACATGAGACACGAGACAAATTTGTTATGGCGCAAAAGAAATTCGATAAGCATTTACGATTTCATGAACGGAAATACAAACAGGACTTAACTTTACAAAAAGAAACTCTGAATACAGAAGCTCCGAAAAAAATTTGGACAGAATTACAAAAACTTTGTCCTTAGAAGAAGAATGCTATTCCGATGGAATGTGTTAATGACGATGGTTCTACGTCATTCGACGAGAACACAGTGATAAACAAATGGGAATCCGATTTTAAAAACTTGTACATAAACAACAATGACGATTACGATGATGAATTTTATGAAAACGCATTACGACACAAACGACGTTTGGAAAAAAATATGCTTGATCCGTTGTATATATGAGAAAAATCGTATAGGAATGATCTCTGAAGCTAATTCATGTTATTGCAAATATTCGTTTTTATAATATACCAGGATAATGAGGATGGTCATATCATACATTGCGGCGAAAATGTGTCCCCCATGGTACACGAACAACTTGATTTCCTCTTGAGTTGCGTTTGTTTTTAGAACATTTAACCAATGTTTTGAAGATGATTCCTTTATCAAACATTTTTTTCATATAGTTAAATTTCTGAAACCTACATAAAAAATTCCAAATATTCGAATGTAGGTCGGATGTAAGTGGGAACGTACGAATTATGCGGCAAATATGAGTCACTCACTCTAGTGCTATTAAACTAAATTGCCATACATGACTTCAACTGAACATTGTAAGAAAGGTCCTCTACCCATTCTATGGTGGATGTAAACATTTGAGAATAAAAAAAAAAAAAAACAAAGATTAAAATTTGGATGTCTTTCCGTAATATATTCGATTTGTGACATCATCGACTGAGACTGCATTTGAATGGCAGATGATGCATACGTAGCAGGATATGCTACCCGACGATCCACCCAGTGTTGTCACTTTCATTTTCATTTCTGAGTAGCAACATTCCAACAGCGCCTGCATGTCTCCCAGTTGATTTCCTATTTCCTATAATGATTTCCTTGATAAAGGGTTAGGTACATTCCCATATTATTCTTATATGATTTGCATATCTATAAATACTTGAAACGGATTGGTCAATTAGAATTTTTTCCCTTGGTTTACACTTCGATAAACCATTTTTCCGAAACTACTTTAGTAACCTTCACTGTGATCTATTCATGCGCGATACACATGCATGCAGGGATACTGGGATTTTCAGTAAATTGAGATTAAAAAACAAAAAGATAACAGTTGGTTCTATTTTAATATAAATATAACAATAAAGAAATAATGCATTAAAGCTTTGAAAATGTATAAAAAAAAATTAATATAAAACTGCGAAGTTTCATGAATGATTTAGCGAATTTACGTCATGGCTCATGACAAAACACGACGTCATACGAATGAAAATTTTCAAACAAAAGATTAAAAATGTATTTCGTTACTTGCACGCTTCAAATTTAGATAATATCTTATTAAAATGAAATTTTTGAGGTAGGTTCTATTTCATTTTCGATTTTTGTTGTATTTAACGAACATTTGTTGATTTTAGAAAGGCAATATGGCGGCTAACTCCTTAGTTACGACACGTCAATTGTGCATTTGATGGCAAATATAGAAACATTGAAACATCTAAATGTTAATTAAAAATCGCAAATGTTTGGCTGAAGAATTATAAGGATTAAGCACATTTAATCTAGAGGTTATTGATGTGTAAACATGGGCTCTTACTCCTTTGGACCTTATTCAGTTTGTGTGTTAATCGCCCCGGTTTACACATTAATAACCCCAGAAAAAATTTGTTTACTCCTATAATAAAACTGGATTTTTTTTTATGGTAAACTTACTATCATCTCTTTTGTCGTTTATTTAAATTGTGCCATTTTATATGAAAAATGTTTTTTGAAATATTGTATTTGCTCACCTTGTTCGCTGCCATCATTTGTCGTTGCCAGTCGTAGTCGTAGTCGATAAACATTGACATCAATCTTCTCCTCTGAACATATCAGGTCAATTTTCATCATGCAACCAAATTTTGCCGCAATTATCCTTGGATTATCTAGTTTTATATATATGTCCTATGATCCCGCCTGCAAACCAGCATGTCCAACAAGGTATAAAAAACCATATTTGGGTTAAAAGTATTGTCTATAATCTTTATCGAAAACCCACCATAGACAGCATATGTCAAATTATCAAGTTCTACCTTTTGTTAATTTTGAGCAAAAAAGATTGACCACTCTTTTAGAAGTGGTATTGCCCTAAATTTACGATTTTAACTACTAACTAGGGATTTTGGTAATGATCCTGAAGACTTATCAAATAAAACGAAACTATTAATTACAGAATTAATCAGCAGGAAAAATATTACAAAATAAGATACCCAGTATAAAAATTGTCTGTTGACTCCTTAAAGGAATGTTTTGCCTTAAAATGACAATTTCTACCAATTATTGTTTTGTTTGGCGGAAACTATAATTAAGGATTATGATCAAAGAACATTCATATTCACATGGGGTTAACTATTTGGCTGGTGAAACCCTCGTTGAGGAAAAAAGAGTTGTTTCGTTTCTACATGTAAAAGTAAACACTTCTTGAAACAAATTTTGTGGTATACTCATTACAGGTACCTGTTTCAATGCAACTGGAGCATAGAATGTTATAATACACAAGACATAATGATCCGCAGTGTCCGGCTTCTAGTATTATTGTCGGCATTTGTTGTACTCATTCTGGACTGATCTATATAGTTATAAAAGATACCAGGCTTATATTTTGATACGCCAGACGCGCGTTTCGTCTACATAAGACTCATCAGTGACGCTCAGATCAAAATAGTTAGAAAACCAAACAAGTAAAAAGTTGACGAGCATTGTGGACCCAAATTTCCATAAAATTGTGCCAAATACGGCTAAGGTAATCTATGCCTGGGATAAGAACATCCTCTATCAGCGATACACATGAACGACTTAATGAAAGAATGAATGATCACCGGTCTTTTGTAGATGATTCTGGTTATAATTTTTCTATAAACACGTTTACCAGCCTGGCTATTCCATCATTGTTTCTATGAAAGTAAGGATTATAGATAAATCCATAATTGAACCTACAAATGTATGACCCCATACTGAGTTCACCATATCGCTTACAGAGAGATTTTTAGATTTGAGATTTGAGAACAGCTACCTTTTATGTATGCATCAACAAAATCGATTTCTTTTTGTTTTGTTTTTCTGATTTGTAATTTTTATTCCACAACATACTGCACTTCTACTGTTAACAATTTACTTCACTAGACCAGCATTCTCTGTTTTTTACCAGAAATCCAGGGTTACTGACTGGTTAGCATCATTATATTCGACATAAGTAAGTTACATCTAAATCAAATCATATTATATCATTTTCAACCATGAAACAAACAAATAAATGTGAAAATACTCATTTATTGATTTGTATCATCTAGCATGTTTAGTAAAAATTGTTTCCGGAAATAGTTCTAACTTTCCTTTATCAATTTACTACTAGGCTAAGTATAGTTTTGAATTCTCTTCCTGGTTCGGAAATCCCACCAGATCTAATTGATGAAAAATAAGATTGTGAGCTATTCACAGGTATGTCTAAATTAGAAATGCAGTATGGTAATTTAGATTCTTTAATAATTCTAGAATTCTTTAATATACTCTTTTTTTTTAAACGATAAATACTGAGGATAAAGATTATCGTTATCAATCCACGCTTGTCTGTGATAGGTAAAAAAAATTCTCTAAATTAGTTCCGGATATTTTATTTTAATTTTACAAAATCGATTATTAACTTACAGATATTTTGTCTAGTCCGAGATGTAGTGATATCAATAAAATGGTATAATTTATACATCTCCGTTCGATACAAAGGTATATGTTTTTTTAAGTTAACACCATTTAAGATAAGGACTTAAGGAGGCTCGAGGCTATAAACACTTTATATAGGAATTTCCTGATAACTTGATATTTTATCCCTTAAAGTAAGTGGATCGAAATAATGAAATAAAATTAGGGGGTCACCGTTCATTTAAGCGCTTAATAGGCCACCGAAATAAGGAGGGTTTTTTTGCTGTTTAACAAAGGAATAATAGGGAAAAATTGTGTGTTGACATACTTAGATTTTAATAACGGATACAATTTATATAAGATTATGTTTAAATCTGTTTTACAACTAGCACAAGTATAGTTTTACATGTTCAGCAAAAAAAAATATATAGGTCACCGTTGGTTTAAGAAAGATATTTCACATTCTAAATCCAATTATCCATTTTTGGCGGAAAAAGACTAATAGGGAAAATATCACCTGCACTACCTTCATTCTAAAAAAATTAAGAGAACTAAATTAAAGATTTCCTTTAAACTTGCTATTCTAAGAGAATCATAATTGAAGTTCAGTAAAAGCAAAAAAAAAAAAGGGGGGGGGGGGGTCACCTTTTAAGAGAGATAAATCACTAAAAGTGTGAAACCATGGTAACAAAAAAAGGTTAATTTTGAACAAAAATCACCTTTTTCACCAGTTGTTAGCCCAAACTATATGAACAATTATATATTGATCTTACAGAATGCCAGGTTGTTTGGTAGTTGTGTTTTTTGCTGTCAAATTAAAGGATTTAATTTGTAGGTAAAAAAAGCTGGAATTTTGAGTGCGGATTAAATTCAGATAGTCAAATTTAAATTTTTTTTATAACTTTTCCAAATCAACTTGGATTTTCATAAAACTATACAGCTATCTCAATTTTATATTGCTCTTACAAAATGCCAGGTTATTTGGTAGTTTGGTTTATTTCTGTCAAATTTAAAGATTTAATTTATAGGTATCTATCTGAATTTAGTCGAAACTGAAAATTGTAGCTTTTTTTTTACCTATCAATTAAATACTTAAATTTGATGGCAATTAAACAAATAACCATCTTCCGGCGTCAATAGACATTTGGTTTCCGGACAATAACTTGGGTATAAGTGTATGGATCTCTATTAAATTGTACCACAAGGTTCCATACCGGACAATATCTTAGGTATAGGTGTACATGGTGTATGGATCTCAATTAAATTTTACCACAAGATTCCATACCACAAAAGTAAGGCTAGGATTGATTTTTGTGGTTGTGACTTGAACCGTTTAGGAATGAGGGAAAAAAATGGGGCAAGAAACAACATCTATGTGATTTTGTATAAGACTAATTTCAAGTTTTAAAGGTTCTTTGGCCACATTCATTCTGGTCAGAATCCTATCCTGTGTCAACCATTTAATCAGAATCCAAATTCATAGCTGTATCAAGCTTGAATGTTATGTCCATATTTACGTATCAAGCTGCCCCTTGCAAAGCATTTTATTGGCTTATATTTATAGTGTGTGATAACATTTTGTGAGGGCATTTGATGTTTGCTATACCGCGGTTCATTTGAACGCACTTTAAAAGGGCAAATTTTCTGTATAAAGTCAATAATTATGTAGACTTTTGAAGCCCAAACTTTCTAGTGCCTTAAATAGGCAAATGAAAGATCCGAAAACTATACCATACAGAACGACATTTTTTTGAAATTATAGCAAAACGTTTGGTTGACAAATTTTTATTCGTTATTGCCAAAAAAAAAAACTTAAAGTATCTGTCATTTTCTCAATACCCAGTTTACCTCTATTACTTATTACTTATTATGATGTGGACCGGTCATTGTTATTGAATCTTACACAATTTGATTGGATTAAGTTATTATTAGTTTACCTTCAAACTGTTTATTTTTTCATACATGTATATTGATTAAATTAGAACGTGCATGAATGTGTACAGTAACTTAAATGACCTTCGAACTGGGCACTGGACGAGTCCATATTTTATTTGTTTATCAATGAAACTAAAGGTATGAAAGGTAAGCATTGCTACTTCTTATATTTTCACAAAATTTTCCACATATAGAGTAGATAAATTATTTTTTTATAGCCTATTCTGGAGAAAAAAGAGAAAATTTACAAATCAGACGTTTTATTCCATTAAACAAGTCATTTTTCGAAGAGTAATACGGAAATACATTTTACGCACAGCTACGCAAGGTGAAAATTATTGTTTATCTTAACAAAAAAAACATTTTTCAGTCTCATTATAATTGCAATTAATCCCAAACAAAAGTAGTCAGTAAATAAAGTCAAAATATATCCGATCCGTCTATTTTTGGACATCAAAATCAAACACGATCGTTTTAAGGTCAATTTCGTTTACCTCACAAAATCTTGTTAGGCACTATAAGTTAAAGTCACATACCTGATAAACTATCATAGGACCTGCCTGACCCTTTCTTCTGCCAGCAAGTGTCTGTTGAAACCTTTATTCCATTGTCTGTCTCTGTGTTCTCATTTTCCTTTGAAAAAACAGGACCAAAAATCAAACACACATTCCTTTGTTCAACATTCAAAACTTTATATCAGCTGGAAGATATGTATGTATGAGATAAAAGTCCTCAAAACAAAAGTCATTAATGTATTAAGTAAATGGATCAATCAAAGTGAGTGGTTAGAAATTACCAAAAGACACTGACCAAATATACTTGACATTCTATGTCTAGATCCCTAAGATATATGGACCTAAATCAAGAACTTTGCTCTTAGCAGATTTGTATCTATTACCATTCAACTCAGGATATCATATTTACTCTGTAAACCAAATATTGTTGAAATCCATACAGTTTAAATTTTTGCAGGGATATTTGGGGTTATTTTGAAAATGGCTGCTTGTAGTAGATTTTACTTATCACCGATCAACACGTTATTTCACATTAACTACAAGCAACTTTTCATTTAATTTCTTCAATAACTAGTGCTTGAGATATAAGCCCAAAAAAAAATGTAGTTTGACCCCTATTTTCTATTTTTAGCATCAGCAGACTCGTTCTTGGTCAATGACCATAATTGATATAACTTTTTAAGTACACCCCAAGTAGCTTTTTTGAAGACCCAACCAGTGTATTTACATAGATGCTTTAATTAATTTTCTTATGGTTGTTAGATTCTTGTATGTCGTGTAAGCATTAAAAAGATCAAACCTGCATCAATAGTTATAGGCTGAAAAGCTTCATCCAATAGGGATTTATGTTCTGAGTTGGTTGCTTGTCTTTCCATAACATTCCCGACCTCATTTTCTCTGGTTTTCAATGTTTTGTGGTGAGGGTAATGGATATTCATTGTTGAAAACAGATTATTAACCTGTATCTCTCCTATCCCAACATGCAGCATACCTGTTGTAAATACATAAAAGGTGATCCAAAGATTTGTGCATTATATATTCTTGCTCGAATACAAATCTTATATTAAAACATGTAAACATTTATGAAATCCTGAAATCAGGAATTTTTTTTTCACAAGAACTAATAAAATTTGCACTTTTATGGTTTCAATAATAATATGAAATAAGTCTGGTACAGTGTATACAGTTTATTTATAATGTACATGTATCGCCTACAGTTTCTTCTCTAAAGTACATGTACACGTGATGTACTTATTTTCTAAATTCTCTTCGTTCAAACGAACATAAATTATTTATGTACTAGACTATATAATTTCTGTATACCTCGACCCAATCTGTTTCTTATCTCATTCATAATAGAAATAACTAAAACACTAGTTTTAGAACTTGTTAGGCACGATGACCATTCTGTTTTATATATCAAACATTCAATTTGCAATACATGTATATCAAACGATAACATTTATAATTTTGTAAATAAAATCCACACCACAGAATTAGTCCTCTGTTTAAATAAACTAAAAAATGTTGCACTCAACAATCTACAAAAGACAAACAACAAATGTTACAAAAAATATTTAATACTGTTTTCGAATATATATGTGCTTAAGTTTATCTAACAAAACTACTTGTGTACATGCGAATGGTCAACGCCCTTATCGATAACTTCAAATCGAGTCCGCCGTATTTAAATACACTCAGGTTCATAAAACCGGTTACAATTCTATTGGTATATTAATAGAATTATCATACGATAAAATTCATCCGCCACGTACATAAATATATTTATATCATAGAAGTTTGAAATTTTCTTTCGCAAAATGATATAATTTAGGCAAAGTGAAAAAATGTCTGTGTTTCCTGTCACATAGTTCATTATTAAAAAGAATAGGGTCAATGAATGAGGTCAACCTTTAATGTGCTCAATTTTTCATAAGAGGTTTTAAATACTTGGAGGAGATACATTATGGCTTTAACAGCTAAAAAATAGGAATCAGGCTCAGTAGGGTTACCATGAAATACACAAGTATTATTATGTAATACTATATATTTAGGTCACTTCTGTAAATTTTATCTCATTTTGTATAAATAAAGCTGTTTTAAGGCATTCAAAAAAGCAAATCCAAGTATTGATTCCTAGAAAAAGTATATATTTTTTTTAATCCTTGAAATGTGGAGATACAAGAAATTTATATTTGAATTGGTGATATTGTTATAAAAATCAGTAGCTATGGCAACATATTGAAAATAATATTACTGAGTTTTAGTACAAATTAAGGGTGCCTTTTCAAAACTAACTGCTGAATACAATGTTTTATAAAATATCAGGCACTAACAAACAAAATAAGGAAG